GCTTGTTCTTTATTAATTGAATGTCACCTAGAAAAATTAGTCTTGAGAAGAACATAAACGGTTCTCTACACACGGGTCTATCATGTACACGCGCTATATCATGATGAATGTTGACCACATCCGATTGCTTTAGAAAAATTTTTGGCAAAAGTTAAAAAATACAAACGAGAAAGATATTGTTAAAATAATTTATAAACAATACACTTACATATTCTTAGCCAAATTCAAAATTTGAACGATACCAAATGGACCAGTTCAGCGGCTGACGATACCAACTAAAACCTTTATAATATTTTTATCACCCAAAACCAAAAATTAGTAGGATAATTTTAATGCACTTTATTTTAAACAATTTTATCGGGGTCACTAGACATCCCAAGTGAAAAAATGTGTTGATGCGCTTCAGTATTGATTAAAATTAAAATATTATTTTTAAAATTGAACTACACGATTTTTTAAAATTTAAATTTAAAACACCAAACAGACAGATATCACAGAGTTCGTACGGCCAACTACAGTACTATTTTATACACCCACGTTATGCTACCTATTCCCTTACATTTCAAGGTTAATTAGAAAAGAATTAGAAAATTTTTGAACCCCAATTATCTATTCAAAATAAATTTATTAGGCAATTTTACCTTTTTAATTTTTTTTTAATTTTAGCTTCAACTCGACATTCTAGAATATTTTCAAAATCGCATATTGAATTCGGCTTTTTCATTTTCCTGTTATTTTCCCCAAAAAAAGGTAGTTTGTAGCATACATAGTTTGGTTCATTAACTAATAATAATTATTGTACAATATTTTAACTTTTCCAATGCCAAATACAAAGTTTCCCTACGAAGCTTTTCATATTATGTAAATCTGGCAGATACTTACATTTAGCCTTTTTATCCTTGCCTTAAAATTTGGCAAATTCCAGAAAATGGGAACAAAAACTAGAAAATCAAATTTGGTTTCAAAACATTTCTATGATTTCTGAAACAGATTTTCGTATTGGAAAAAGGGTGTAACGAAACCGAATTGCTGCATTTAAATTACAATTTTCAATATTTTAAATTAGGAAAACCTTTAAAATTACTTTAATTTTTTCCACTTTACAGAAACTAGTAAGAAATTTTTTATTTTTAATAACATATGGGTTCGACCTTTTATAATGTTATTATTACCTTCATATTTATTCTTATGTATGTGAATATGGGAATTTAAAAATTTTCAATAGGTACACAAATATCCTTAAATATGAGTAGGTCCTTAAAGGGATTTCTGAAAAATGCTATTCAGTTAATTTTATTTTAATTTTCTTTTATTATTTTATTTTTTCTCAAGGGTGTATGTATTGTTTTTGCAAGAAGATTGTTTACTTAAAGAAAGAATTTTATTTTCAATTGATTCGAAATTTAAAATATTTTTATTTCTTATACAAAGATATTATTTTTGAATTTTATAATACTTTAAAATAAAATTTAAAAAACGTCGTTACGTCGTAATATTAAAATAAATCCCTTATTTAAAATGTGGACATAAAAAATAACACGGATAATAATGGAATAACTATTCGAACTTATTTTGAACTTCTTCAAATAACATAAATTATACTAAAAGAAATTGTCATTCATTTTGCGATGAAATTTTGAATATCAAAAGTTTCGTTGCCAATTGCGGTAAATTGATCAACAATTTGAGTACATCAATGTGAGCTCAGTAATTAAATTGGTTGTTATAGGAGCGAACAATATGATTTAATTGACAAATTGCTTTATCTACAATAAACTGAGTGATTATTCATCATCTCAAATATTAATTTGTAAAATATTAGAACAGGAACATGAAGATTTTCTATAACACAATTCTTAACATTGTGCAAGGATTTGAAAACATAATATCAAATTCGATGATTAACAATAATTCTAGAAAATAAAATGAAAACACACTTAAAGGTTATCTGGAAAAATTATTTTACATCATATTTACAAATTACTGAAAAACTTCTCACATAAGCTTAAAAAATTCGAATGTTTTCTGTAATATGCACTTAAAAATTTTGAAAAATTCCACACCTTACACGTGTAGTAATTATGTTATAAAAACGCCAAAACCAAAATAATAGTGAGTTTTTTTTTATCACAATAAAAAAACTTGTTTTCTTCAAAGAATTGAGTTGTTTTTCAAAAATTGAATTTGAATCTTCGCATACCAAATATCGTAATTTGTAAGAAAAACAATGAATCCTTTCACTTTAGAATTTCATTTTACTTTTCCTTTTCAGAATAAACTTTATAATAAGTTTTAAATAAAAGGATTCAAAGCTTTGCGGCTCAAAACTTTATGTTCGTCTTCCAATTTACGAAAATTTATTTCACGTCCAATTATTTTATAGCACAAATTTTATTTTAAAGAAAAAGAAATTTCCTGCTTAAAAACTTTATTCAATACAGTTGAATCAAAACAGTGGTTTGTAATTTAGCACTTTTTCCTTCAACAAATGAAAATTCTGCTTTACTTTCATTCATTTACGAATAAATTTCAAAAATTGCATACCTTTAGATTGAACAATACATGCAATCTTTTATTATAGGCAAAAATCTAAAATTGTTCCGTATAAAAGGCCAGTTTCCCAAGATTGAAATATTCCAAAAGTTGATCAATCCGTGACATAGCCAAAACAAACCGACAGACTGACTGGTTGCTGGAAATAGTTTGTTTACAGTTTCCTATCATCGAGAAGTGCGTTCCCACCGATATACTCGATATACAAAATTTATTGCCATCACATAAAATACCAATGCGATCGATAAAAAATTTAAAGGGGCGTTAACATAATGCTCGAATTTAAGGGTTAATTGCCCGAGTTAAGAAAAATTAATACATTTTTTCAAGGGCATTACATTTACCGTTAGCATTTTATATTTTCAGAAATTTGGAAGAGCTTACTTGATAACGGTAAATTTTAATGGCAATTTTGTTTTCTATAAAAATTACTTAAAAAATGGCGTTTTTAGAAATTTGTGGGACTACAACTTTTAGAGAGTGGGGGGAGATAGGTAAAAATGTCTGTCTACAGGAATAAGTTTCTAGTAAACATCTAATGAAACAAAATGACAACTAATAAGTCAAAATGAAACTAATAAGCACTTTTTTTCAAATTTTTTTTGAAAAAGTTCTAAAAACCAAATGCACATACCTATACTCGTACATAGATGCAGAAATTATTTTCGTAAAGATAAAAGTTTTTAAAGTTCAAGTCATATGTGGACTCTTTATATAAATGTAGAAACACTATGGTATAATTGCAAACATACAATAATAAAGTATATGAACCAATTTGTGTCCCTGTACAGAAATCTTGTGTTTATTAAGAAAGTTTTTAATAAAAATGTTAGTTAAAAAAGTTTACTATATTACTTTGCTAGTTTAATTTTCACATGAAAAATTTGTTAAAATTATTATCAAAATTTCTTTGGAAACCTTTCGACTATTTTTATTTTAGTTTTTACTCAATGCTTGTATAACGTATACAGTTTATTATTATGTATGGAGGTATGTACGACGTAACTTTAATTTTGATAAAAATTCCCAAGTTTTCTCATGTACACTGCACTCTAATAAATCACCAAAGATGATATAAAGAAAAACATTTTTTTTTTTCTTAAGAAATTTTTGGAAAATTTTTACTAACTAGTTAACTAGAAAATTCAAATAAGTTTTTCCTTTATGAAATTATAAAATGGATTGCATGTTTTTATTGTTTTTCTATATTATTTTTCAAAATTTTTAATTGGTTTGAAATATTTTTTAAATGATAATTTGGAATAATATTTATTTGACTAATGAAACAGTGATATTTTCTAATATCATTAATGGAAATAGGAACCAGAGTCTTGTCAAGAGATTTTGTCTCGAATTTTGTACTTACTAACATATTTATGGTTTGAAACTTTGATAACAGTGGACACTTAACTGAAATTAAACGAACGACAAATTTAATGTCAAAGTGTTGAGGTTTGCAGTGTTCTCCGTCTCAAATTTAGTAATCAAATTATTGCATGGATTACCACATTTTGTTATTAAATTGGATTGGTTAAGTCATAACTTAAAAATACTAAGAATTTGCTAATAATTTATTAGTATAACGTTTGGGATTCATTTACACCAATTGATTTACTAATTTGATTTGAAAAAATTTTGAAAAGCTAATTCGCTAATTCAATCATACCAAATAATGTTATAGTTGCTCCTAATATGGTCAAAACCCATCAATTATTTTGCCTCCTTACCGAACATAAAAAAAAAATGGCGAAAATTACATAGTTGGAAAGAACATCTCGAAATTGTTCGCATTGTAATCTAAATTTTTAAAAATAAAAATTAAATAACAAAACATAAAGAAAAAGAGATCTCAACTCGAGGAGGAATACAGGAAGTTCAAATGGCTTTTGGGAAGGCGTTCTTCGTTGTCAATATACAATAAAGTTTTGATATATTATCAAATATTTAAGCCTGTCTAAGCTTACGGTATTCAGTTACGAAGCTGCGCTGCGCAGATTCATATTCAATATATTCAAAGATTTCAAAATAAGGTATTATAAAGGATTGTAAACGCCAGGAATTTCTCGATCCTAGTGTCACAGATGAAATTAAAAAGCAAACAGCCAATCATAAAATGCGTTTATCCAATCATGTCAACAACGAGGCAATCATATCAACAATCAAATCTTCATTAGGAGACTTAAACGTACGAGACCCCCCGAGTTAGTTTAATGTTTTTTATCTGGAACAATAAGTAGTTAGTACGCTATCAAAAACTGGTAAATAATCAAAAAAGTTGGACCAAAATTAATAGTTAGTGGTTTCCAACTAGTTTTATAATTTATTTTGAGAAGCGTGTTTTTTTAGTGAATTCAAGTTCCACACTACTGCTTTTCGTCTGGTAGTGTCTTTTGAGATTTTTCACCCTTCTTCCGGTAAAAAAAAATAATAAAACTTTCATTAATTTTTTTTAATTGCTTTATCTATATACTAAATTATTATATAGGTATTATAAAACTATTGCCTTTGTTGTTATACAATTATAAATTTCTTGCATGTCGTTTTACATTTTAATTTTTTTATATTCTAAAATTAGTAATCAAATTACAATTCCATTTAAATATTAAATAGTTATTTATCTGCCATAAATTTCAATAGTGAAATTTAATTTTTTACCACGACCAGATTTTAAACGAACAACAGCATTTGTTGAACCAACACCGCCACTTAAAATTGATGCATTGCCACCAGATGAATTATCAATAGCTCTTATAAAAGTGATCGGGGTGAATCCTCTATATTCAACATTCATGGTGACTTTTTTCAATGGGAATGATCCTTTTGTATATGTTCTAACTTCCAATAAACGATCATTTGGTTGTCTTGAACCCCATTGTGCACCATCTGATGCAACTAAAGCAGCTAAACTGAAGAGTGATAGTAAAATTAAGAATTTCATTTTAGAAATTTCGAGTTTCGCTTTTTAATAATAAAAAATAGGTAATTATTGTTTAAAAGTTGAAATGTAACTGTAAAATTATTGTTAGTTGGTAACATTTTTATAGTAAACAAAATGAGTGGAGAGAATTACGCAAATCACTCGATTGAAAATTTTTATCTTGAGCTTTTCTTAATATTTTTGTTTTTGTATTGTTTTGTGTGCCAATTATTTAATGATAAAAATTTTATTTTCTTGATAACGGGATTTGTTTTTAATTTTTTTTTTAATTAATAGATAGGCTCTTAATATTTTATTTATGATGTTGAAATTATCGCGAAAGGTTTTTGTTTTTTCGGAAATAAAAGTTAATAAAAAAAAAATTGTAAATAACTTTTTTCCTGTTCGCTAATACGCGGAATTAAATTTATTTTTGATATTTTTTAATTGACTGGAAATTAAATTGAAATTTTATAATTCGATAAGTAGGTGTAAGAAATATAAGGATTTTGGATTAGTGGCAATATTTCTCGGAATATTTGATTAGTTCAAGCACTTTTTAAAATTAAGTTCTTGAAAAACTAGAAACAAAAATACTGTAGATATGGGAGCAATAGAATATTAAAATTAAGCTGTTACGAATATCTTTGGAGGAAGATAAGTTCTTGTTTTGCTTTCAAGTGATTATGAGTAATAATATGGAACAATTTCTAGTAAAATTATTTGCAATAATCGCAATACTTAAATACTTACAATATATAAATTATTAAAAGAATTATTAAAAGAGTTTAATAATTCATTGAGGTTACTAAGATAATATGAACAATTTTACTTTTACTGCAAATATTTTTGCTCTGGATTTGGCCGAAAGCATTGTTTTCAACATTAATGTTCTGCAGTTTTTTCCGAAATATTGAAAAGTACGATTAACTAATGGCTCGAAAAAACACAAAAATTTGTATGGTAAAAAAATTTTTTTTTTGGGATTGAGTTGAATGCTTTTGCTTCCTTGAATTTGCTTCCTTGAATTATTCTTTACGTTGCCTGCAGTTAGTTCATTTATGTTAAAGTTTATATGCCTCTAACGCTTTCTAATGCAATTAATTCTTCTCCTAAAAGTTCCCTGCTTCGTTAGAAATAAACAGAATTGAATTTTTGTGCATAAGTATAAAATTTAATAAAATCTTTCAAGAAATAAATTGAGAATAGAAATTTACGGAATTCCAATTTTTACAAAGAGCAGTGAATTTAGCTTAAAAAACTTGTTATATTTTCACTGCATTGCATTACAATTTTTTCAGCAATTTGAATTCCCGTCTTTTAATTCTGTCATGGGTATTCTTGCTTAAAATCGAGTTCTAAGTCGTTGTATTTCGAGAAAAGTTATAGAAATTTGATACTTGACATAAATGTTAAATATGTTCCGGCGGAGAGCGTTAAAAAATATCATTAGAAACATCTCAAAGTTAAAAAATTTTGTTTGGTGACTTTTTCAAAAATGTATTTGAGAGATTTCGGGTATCAAAAATGACAGTACTTATAGTCATGGTCTAAAATTATTATTCAATAAAATTTTTAAAAACGGATCGGATGACACCTCACATTTCATTTAATATCCAAAATAATTTGTTCGCTTATTTTTTTGTACAATTGTCAGTTTTCATTATTATTTATGAAAAAAAGAAATCTGATGTAGTCACCACATAAACGACTGCAATGTATATTGTCTAATTAAATGTTACAGAAAAGGTTATGGGAACTGGTTTTAAACACTTCTTGAGATTTTTAGGAACACTAGTATGCTTTTAGTTAAGATTCCTCGAAAAGTAAAAATTTGGCTCTTAGTAGGTTTTTGCTTTGCGCTATCCAAATTTCCTGAAAAATTTGCCAATGAGTTTTGCTAACAACCAAAAATCAAACATAATTTCAAGAAATTCCATCGATTAGTTCAGACAGAAAGACAAAGATTTCTCTAAAAATAGTTGATTTGCCATACCCTTCCATGAAGAAGTGCGATCCCATAGAAAACTCGATGTCTTCCCTTATTGCATGCGATGGAATCGTTAAAAAACAAAAGCATTGTTGTATAATCATTCAATAAAATAAGTAGATCGGTCAGGAATTAAAATTAAAGATTATAAATTCATAAATTTATTGCTCATTATTATTTTTAGAAATTTATTTGTAGGGAATTCCTAAAAAATGGCAATATAAGAAAATTTGCTAAGCCAGACATTAAAGAAAATTTTAATATTAAAATAAATGCGGTATACAAAATAACAATGTGAGTGCAAAAATGAATCACCAAAAGAAATTTTCTATATTAAATGATCGTAAAATAATGAAGAAACCTTATAAAAAACGATAAAAATTCTAATCTATTTTTGATTTATTTAGAATTTTTAAAACAGTTTTAACACTCAATGAAAGCATGGTATACTCTAATAAACGACCAAACCTGATTAGATTTTAATTGATTGTGAATAGTATAACAAGTTATGAATTAACATTGTACCTAAACAATTTCTACTAGATATCAGAATATTAAGTGTTTCTTATGTGAATTGCTTTACACTGATTTACTAATCTTAATCTGAAGTATTCTTCGAAAAATTTTAATCAAAGTAGAAAAAAAAAACCTAATTAAATTTTAGCCTGTAAAGTGGTTTTTATAGGCTTATTATAGCAGTAATTATTATTGTTGAGTAATGATCTCTCTCTACAATCTCTCTCTTCTCTACGATATGGCGGTGTACAAAGTGTACAAAAATTAATCAGACAATTTTAAATTTTATGTTTTTATCGGGCACATTTTTACTTTAAAATTTTTAAGATTGAGAAATTATTAGTACAATGATTTTTTTGTATATTTTATTAGCTTTAGTAATGCATGTGAAGCAATAGTTTAGTCATTTATGCCCTTAATTAAAATATTGCACAGTTGCTACTAATAATACTAATTTATTTTTCCCCTAAATTTTGAGCACCTGGATTTTTATGACTATCTCGATTTTATCTCTATATATTGGATTTTTTTTACCAAAAATGAAAGGTTTCTTTGTTCAATTTACATAAATAGGAGAAATTTGGCAAATTTTATATCCGCAGATATAGCGACAGTCAACTTATGTATGTATATTAACAAAATATCATGTATACATAGATAACACTTTTATTGAGATCTTCTAGTGAAGTCTACGGCAACGAAAAACTTTAAGAAATCGAAAATTGAAATAAGTTATTTGGTTATTTTAATCTTATCTCTTAAATACTCTATTTATTTAAAATGTGCAAATTTATAATCCCGTTCTAAAATATTTTGGCAATAACTTGATTTTTTATATCTACCTACCTTTATTTTACAGATACTACAACATTATAAATGTTTGCACAAAAACAGAATTTCTATTTTATGCATTGATAGTATAAGCAAGTGATTTTAGTTGGAAACAGCAATGACAATTATTAAGACTTTGTATCATTAAAGTGAAATAGGTACACAGTTAAATTTTTTTCGAACTGGGATTGATTTAATTACCTTACGCATGAGTGCTTGATTTAATTACTTAATTATTGACAGGTGGCAAACAAGCCCCTATATCTCGATTTGGACAGTAGGGAGATAAATGGAGAGTTGGCTTTTAAACATCCTCAGAAAGCATCAAATCACATTTGCTAGTGGTTTTTTCTGTTCTGTGTAGGTACGGGTAAAAAGTGGTAACCATATGAGGTTTTATAGCTAACCTAGTTGTTATGTCATATTCGGAATTTTTTGCTCAGATCTCCCAGTTTCTATTGTTCTAAAATTCTTAGAGTTTCTAAGAATTTTTTTTCATATAAAAGTGCTTGCACTTTACTTTCTAATTCATTATAAAAATTAATATTATGCAAAATAGCTAGGCACTTTCTCAAAATTATGACACGAAACATATTTTTTTTTTATTTATATTTTTTTTATTATAACAACTGTATGCAAATGTATTTTTAACTGTACTCATATTAATTAGCAATTCAAACAGATAGTAATCAATATTCAATATCTGTTTTTATACTTATATGTACATAGAATATATATAAATACATGAACAGCCGCGGATCTAGCATATATCTATAATAAACATATGCAATGGGCACTGGAAAATAGAGGCGCAATTATTATACGAAATAATTATTGATATTGTTCATTGCTTTGAAAGCGGAAGGAGCGCCCTTTTTGGAAATCACGTAGGGCACCGAACAAATAACATGCGGACCTGTACATGAATGTGAGTTCATAATAATATTATATTGACATAGTAATGCAAAATTTAATAAAATAGTATTGTTCGTTTAAAAAAAAAAATTACAATTTATTTCAGTTTGTTACGTGGCCACACATCTGTTGGACAGTAAAATTATAAAATATTTTAAAATGTAAACAATATTTTGTAAAATTGAAAAGCCATGTCAAAATAAAATTCTGTAAAAATCTATGAAAACAAGGCAGAATTTGACAGAAATTTGTTAAGATCTAGATAGAAAAAAAAATAAATCTTGTAATTTCTCGTGTTTTTCAAGCAGACGCTTAAAAAAAAACTCTATCATAAGAATCTAATGTTTGATATCGTGTTAAAAATAAACAACTCTCTCAAGAAATCGTACAAATTACAAGTACTCTTTATTATATCGGAAATTAAAATCGTTATTTTATCTTACTTTGTATATTGTATACACAAAAAAGTAGCTTCAAGCTTGTTTAATATTGTGAATTAGATAAGATAACAATTTTAATTTTTGTGCAAAACTTTCATATAAAAACTTAATTTATAGATTTAAATAATTTAGTTTGACTCGCTCAATCCAATCGAATTACAAAAAAAATAAATAAAATTTTTACCATAATAAAATTTTAACGAACAAAAAAAAATAAATTATTCTCGAAAAGGTAAAAAATGTTGGAAACTCTTAATTAAAAAATTATTTTAATAAAATTAAATTTAATTGAGTGTAATAATAAAAATAATAGCGCGTTTATGCTAGTAATCTTCAGTATAGTGTGTAGGCAGTGGAAAATTTTGTAAAAATTGTTCTTAATACCGGAAGCGTCTACCCATTTTGGATCAGAGCTCATAAAATTCCCTAGAAATTTATGATAAATTTAGATTTTGAATTAATACCTAAGGCAATTAGGTCGCATAATAATTGCAATTTAATTTATTTCCGAAAAAATTAAAAATTAAATATTTGCTCGCTTAGTCATAAAGCGAACTGTAAATAGTGCAAGAGAATTTGTTGTTCTCTTTCTCGCGAAAAAAATAATTTAGTTCACTTACCATTTTATGTGCTCATTACGTTATTAAAATTTTATGAAATTCTTACGTCACAAATCACAATTACATACGAATATTTTCGATATAAAAAATTTCCTCTCATGTAACATGAAAATGAAGTCTTCTCTGTGTACCCATAATATGCTCTCAGTTTTATTAAACAAAAAAATACACTGAAAGTTTTGTTACATTAATTTAATTTTTATTTTTTATAGATGAAATTCTTAGGCTGTCTTATTTTTGCTTTAATTGCTGCATTTGCTGTTGTATCAGCAACAAATTCAACATGGGGAGCACGCAATTGGAATGATCAAATGATTTTCCGTCAAAATATCGTTATTAAAGGAAATTATCCAACATACAATTTAACTTTCCCAGCTAGAGTAAGTAAATTTGAAATAATTTTATTCTAACCAAAAATTTATTAATTTTAATTTAAAAAATACTTATATACTTATTATAGGCAGGAGCAAATACCAGAAAAATAACATATATTTTAGCTAGAGATTTAACTAGATTTGGTAATGGTGGACAAGCTACACTTTATCGTGGTGGTGTTGGTTTCAAAAATGTTACACTCATCTTTAGATCACAAAGTAATACTGGTCTCAATATGACAGCTGAAATTTGGGGACGTTAAGTATCTGAGAAAAAAATGAAAATATTTTAAACTGTTTCATAATTATTTGTGATATTAAAATCGAGAATAATATAAAGTAAAAATTTTATGACTCGAATTTCTAATGTGGTTTTATATTATAAGAATGAATTGTGTAACGCTGTAGCATACTAGAAGGCAATGTGAACGAGTTTGAAAGTAGTTTAAATCAACAATCTTGTTGCGAATGCAAAATTTTGTTTGTGGAATATTTCACCCAGTAACATTTTATTATTCATTGAGCTGAACGAAAAATAATGTAAATATGAAATAGACAGGCTTTCTTTGCACACACACTTTTTCTTTATTCAATGTGTCTTTGCACGAGGAAAAAATTAAGAACAGAAAAACATTTCTTTTCGTATATCCAAAAATTCAATTAAATTTCCTGCCAAAATCAAATTTTCCTTTGATATTTTTCTTTCACTTCTTTGTTTTTGTGCCTGCCTCTTAAAACAAAACTGAACTTCGAATTGTCATAATATAAAATTGGTTATCATTCCTTTGACCTATTATTACGTTTTTCACTTAATAATTATTAATTTAAAAAGAAAGACGTTGATTACCTAACGCGTGAAAAATGTTGTTAAAGAAAATTTATTATTGAATTTTCATTGATCTTTTTGGGTACCATGCGGTGAACTTTTATGTAAAACATTTTCTTTATGTTTGCTATTATTATTTTTTGCTATAATCATTAATGCCGTACAAAAAGTAATTGGTTAAAAATCCTTTTATGAAATTTCAAGTGGTCTGTTTGTGACTCTTGTTACTCTCTTTTTGCTTTTACATTTCCTTTTAACATTTAAATAATAAATTATGTTATGGAATTATGAGTTTCTTTTTATTACTGTCGAATAAAATAAGGATATAGTTTCATTTATCTACAATTTTGGAAAGAAAATTACAGTGCTGGTTTGTACCATAACAATAATAATATTATGGTTTCGAATTTAAGGAAAAACTACCATAATAGAACTAGCATATTTCGATTCCTTTGAAGGCTGGCTATCTTAAAAGTTACGGACTTGGTGAATGTAAAGTGCCAAGGATCTTAACCGATTTATAAGAGATTTGGCCTGGTTCAAGTGAGCGTGGGGATATGAGGTTCAGCGGGCATCACAACGGGTCTATTTGGGCTTAGTGTGTGTTACGATTGCCACGTCATCATGTGGCTTAGACGGTTATTTTCTTGCATCTAATGATGTTGTTCAAATATTCTTCGATTATGCATCCTTAATCATATCAAATAGAATAAAATTTAATTCTTTTAAGCCGAAAGTTAGCAAATTTATCCTAAAAATTCTTGGTAGCTAAAATATAAAAATTAAAATTGGAAATGGCGACAACATTAATAATATATTTTTGTTCAATCATGAATTCTCTTAATTTTTTCTTTTATTATTAAACAAAAGTACAATTACATTAAAAGTTTCCTTAATCGAAATGACAGTAGTTGATTTTATTGCCTGCTGTGTCTCTGTAAGTGATTACAATCGAAAAATCTGATTGAAATTATTGAATCAATTCATACATATTTTATTGAGTAAATTGAATGTATGTATGTGTATGCTTTTGATTAAAATTTTCGTAAAAATTTTTATAGTTATAAAAAAATTTAAAGGTTTTTCCGGAATAATTTGATTCACGTGGTAAACAAAATGTGTAGCAAAAAACAAAAAAGGAAAATTGCAAGGGTTCTTGTTTCAAAATCAAGGATATTATTTTACCTTACATCAGATTGTATACCTTAGATCATTTCCTGAAACATTAAAGTTAGTACAGAGGAATTATTTTCATTTCATGTAAAATGTATTCCGAGTTATTTACATCGGAATTTAGTGGAAGTAGTGAATTAAAAAATTTTTAAAAGATCACCTTTACAAAGCCTCATTTTTCAATTTTATCTCGAAAGTTATTTTACCTATTAGTGTTACGATGTCAGTAAAAATATAATCCTTTAAATACAATCCTTTAAATGTTATTCTTCAAATTTATTGTCATTTGGAGGTCATCTGTGTAAATATCAACTACATAAAGGAAAAAATTTGTAAATTAAAACTGAAATCTTTGTGAATTTCACATAATTCAATCATATTTAGCTTCGGCTTTAGTAATTAATTTGCATACGAGTAGCAAATCAAATTAGGAATTGTGGTCAAAGAAAAAGATAACAACAAATTCTACTTTTCGAAAAAAATTACATTTGGTTTTTTTTTTTAATGATATTTGCGATTTTTCTCTTTGAGTATTCAGAAATGAATGAAATGTTTCTAAAGCATAACAAAAATTTTTGAAAATCCAAATAACTCTTATTAAATTTCGAATTCTACAAAGCAAAATCCTTACTTTTTAGACACGGTAAAAATTCACCTATTTCAAAAGTCATTATGCATAACTTTTAATAGCCTTTACGCTTTACTGAAGACAATTTGAATATTTTTGTTTGCCAATTACACTATGATTTTGCGAATTCAAATAATTTGCGGTAAATATTGTTATAAATATTCCGAAAGGATAATTCTAAGGATATTTAATCAAAATTGCAATAATAATATGGTGACCGCAAATTATTTTCTAAAATAGATTCAGATGTTGTTTTTTGTAGAGCATTAAATCAAAAGGCAAGAAATTTGTTGAAAAATCCTAAAATAGAAAATAGTTGCAGGAATGTCATAGAAGAAGAGTTTATGCCAAATTCATTACACCAAAATTTCACAGCGAGAAGAGAATAACTACAGCTAAGTAAAAATTGTTATACGCATATTTTGCTTTCATTTCATTGATTTTATTGTTAAATCAAAATCAAAGGGTATGAAAAGTAAAAATTTTATCACCTGTACTGCCATTTTTGGGAAACCTTAAGTCTACTGCGTTTTAATTAAAACACTTTAACAAACAAAAATCCACCTTGCTTATACTAAAACTTGTATTTATAGAGTATTATCAGATGAAAATCAAACATCTGTCGAATATTTTTCCCACGTTATACAGGCGCTTCGCATTCATTAATTTGGGATATTTTGTAATAAGTGACAAAGAATCATAATGCACTTGAATTCATAACTCTCATTTATTGCAACGCGAAATTAAAGACGGGGTAAAATTTAAAGATTAAAATTTCGGAATTTCTTTTATAATTCCACCAATTAAGTATTTAAATAATTCTAAAATAAGTATAAATAGGTCTAAATTTATGCAAAATGTACGGTATCGTAGTACTAAACTCTCAATAAATTTTTAATAAAATAAAATTGCACTCACAAGGAAAGTGAATAAAAAATGAATAAAGAAATCAAAAAATTGCATATATTTAGGGACCCAACTTAATTTTCGAAAAGAATTTATTGAATCTAGCTATCCAGCATTTTTTATAAGAAAAGTAAATAAATATTAAGAGCTTATTTGTAAGAGTAAAGAAAATCTTAATCTAATGTACAAAATCATCGAAAATCATACCTTATTTCTCCCATAAAATAAATTCTGAAGTATTTTTTAAAGAAACTTTTATATGTTGTTGATTTACCTAATTTTTTTTTTATGTTCGAAACGTGTTGCAATTGTAAAATACTGTAAAATTATCAGCTGATTATGGTATATGAAAAATATTATTTAAATTGTCTGTTAATTCTTATTTAGTACCACATGAACTCATTTATATTTTTACATAAACATTACAGCTCTTTTAACATTTTTTTTTCGCTCTGTATACTGCGCAAGTTCTAACAATAACTAGTTGCTGTTTTATTTTCGAAAATTTATTTATGTTTCAACCAAGAGTAAAGGAAAACTTTTTTGGAATTGTAGTATGTGTGTAACTTCAGTTTAGTTTCAACTTTTGAATGCTTTAGTGTTGCTTTTAATGCAATTTTTAAAAATTGATTTTAAATGCGCTTTAGAAGCAGGAAAAATGACTATTGGAATAATATTGAAAATAAAGGAAGAATGGTGATCTCTTTCTTTTTTAATTGCTTAAAAATTTGCTGCTCGTAAGGAAAAAATTTTATAGAAATTTTTGTCATTTAATTTCAAACGCCGTATGGTATGCAATTTTTTATATTTTGAAAAATGCACTTTGTTCCAGAATTTTTCACTTTAACATTCTGTTTCATGCTATTTAGAGTTTAGACAGAAATTATTTAAGTTTTAAGTTAAATTCAATTTTTTATAAACCTTATTAAGGGCTGGTAGTTAACTTAAAATATGAAGGCCACCTAATTCCCAATATGTGCATTTATTTAGAAAAATATTGTATTAAAGCACTGCTAATGACCATCCAAATATAACAACATTGACTTTTTCTGCAAACATTTGCAAAAGGAATAAATAAAGCTTCCAACGTATGATTTGTTACAATGGTAACAATAGCAAAGAAATTTTGATGTTATAAAAATTATTGCCGGCAGTTGAACCAGGGTTTTCCAGTTATTGAAAATGCATACACGAGGAAGAAACGCCATTATATATGTAACACACACATACGAGTACTTATATATTCCTCTTACGAGATACGAGTACTTATAGATTTAAGCCAGTCGATTATTTAGGTGCATTTTCCAAGGTTTTCTTATTTTTGGATATGAATAGTACTCTCAAGTCAAAAGTTTATTTACCCCAGAAAATAATATTTTACAGGTCCTTTAGACATTAACAACTTTAGATATTTATTTATAGAAGGCGTGCCAAAAGGGTTTAAAAATCACCCATTTAATTTTGCACATTATTATTTTTTTTTTTTGGCCATACTTTCAATTTAGATCCTTTTAGTTATTTAGAACTCTGCCTACAAATAAATAAAAATCAAAATTTGCCATTTTATCAATTGAAAAAAAAAATTATTTCTTTTTGTCAGTATTTTATTTTTTGTCGCTTCTAGAAAAATAAGGTCAACAACTTCTGAACTTAGAGTAAAATACAAGAACTTTTAATCTCTTAAACAATATTTTGTTCAATTTGTGATCCACCCTGCAGCACACAAAAGTGATGATTGAAGTTTAAATCCTTTTTTATGTTACGTTGGATGAGTGCTTTTTTTACGCTGTTTTATTTTGTTATTTCGTTCTTTATGCTGTAAGAATG